CACACACACACACACACACACACACACACACTTTGGATTTGTCTGCCGGGGCTGGTTTTGAACAGCGATCCACAGAGCTCAGCCTCCTGAGCAGCTAGGATTACAGGTGTGAGCCTCCAGTGAGTAGTGTCAGCCTTCTTTCTAGTTATTTTTGAGGTAGGATATTATTACTTTATGGCCACTTCTGTCTGGATTGTGAACCTCCTTTTTGTGTTTCTCTCTGCCACTGCGGGTGACAAGTGTCCATACCCAGTCCTTGGTTCAGATGGAGTTTCATGGATATTATTATTATTATTATCTTGTCTGACCTTAAGCTGAAATCCTCTGCTCTCCACCTCCCGAGTAGCTGGGAATTACAGGTGTGTGCTGGGTCACCCAGCCGGACACCCGTGTTTTCACTGTGATCTGTCACACAAAAATTCAGGTGTGGGATTTTTCTGCCTGTGTTATGCCAGTGTTGAAAAAAGTTTCAGACTTTGTGTGGCATTTTTTTTTTTCCAATCAGGGAGGCTCAACCTCTGTCTCCTTGGGACACCGAATTCATTTCCTTTGGTTATAGATACTTGGTAATGGAGTTGGGGGCAGCTCTTGTAATTCATTTGCCTCCCCCTCCCCCGCCCCCATGCCTCAATCAAATCATTAATTCACTCTCCCAGTTCTGTGTGTGTGAGTGAGTGAAATGTGTGTGTACGTGTCATTGTGAGAGTCTGGAATTCCCTGTTATGGCTGCCATGCTAAATCTGGCTTCCACCTCTCTGCGTTTCAGTTCAAGACTCAGTATAGCACCAGAGTGGTCACCAGGACGGTGGTGAGGACGGAGAACGGGTCGGAGCCGGGAGCCTCGGTGGCACCCCTGTCCCCGGTGGACAACGAGAGCAGCGTGGTGGAGAACGTCACTCGGGCCCTGGGCACCCTGCAGGAGATGCTCAGCTTCGAGGAGACTGTGCCGGTGCCCGGCTCTGCCAATGGCATCAACGCCCTGGGCCTGGTGGTCTTCTCTGTGGCTTTCGGCCTGGTCATCGGGGGCATGAAACACAAGGGCCGCGTCCTCAGGGACTTTTTCGACAGCCTCAACGAGGCCATTATGAGGCTGGTGGGCATCATTATCTGGTGAGTGGTGGCTGGGTCTGGGCAGGCATCCAGGGCACTTGGGGGTGCGTGGGGGAGCCCCGAGGGGCTGGACCAGCCAGGCCGTGTGGGAGATGCTGAAAAGGTGATGGCGGATGTTTAACCAAAGTCATTTATTCATCTACTGGTTAATTTACTTGTCAGTTCATTCATTCCTGCCTGCAATAGTTTATTCAGTTGCACCATCTCTCATTCATCTGTTTGTTTCATTTATTCTTTGTTTCCTGTTGTTTCTGTTGGTTGTGGGGCTTGAACTCTGGGCCTGGGCGCTGTCCCTCAGCTCCTCAGCTCAAGGCGAGCGCTCTACCACTTGAGCCACAGCGCCACTTCTGGTTCCCGGACTTTCCTGCCTGGGCTGGCTTTGAATGATGATCCTCAGATCTCAGCTTCCTGAGTCGCTAGGATTATAGGTGTGAACCACCAGTATCGGGCTCCTACTTAATTTTTCTTGGCAGTACCAGGGTCTGAACTCAGGGCCTCTTACTTGCTAGACAGGCAGCCTACCACTTGAGCCACAGCTCCACTCCAGGCTCTTGGCTGCTTCATTGGAGATAAGAGGTTCATGGACTATCCTGCCTGAACTGGTTTCAAACCGCAATCCTCAGATCTCAGCCTCCTGAGTAGCTGGGATTCCAGGTGTGAGCCACGGGCGCCTGGTGGAATAGTTATTCCTTTGTGTTAATGTGCATGTGAGTTGTTCATTGTGGCGGTGGTACAGACACACACATCGAAGGAAGGACCGGGGACCAGATACACTCGATAAGGTCACCCCTCCCCCTCTGTAGTGACCTACTTCATGGAACTGGGCTCTACTTCCGGTAGTTTCCACACCTTCGAAGTCCCTCAGTGGATGAATCCCTGGGCGTGGGGTCAGGATCCTCGAGATCCGATCACCTCTCAAAAGCGCTGATGCCCTGGGCGACCGCTGAGCTTTAGGGAACGTTAGATCTGTGTGGTTTGTGGGTGTGCGGGAGGGTTGAGGTGTGTGTGCGTGTGTGCGCGTGTGTGTGCGTGTGTAACAGGGTGACCAGCCTAGACAGGTGCCCGGCTCGCCCAGGTACGCGCCCGTGGGGATCCTGTTCCTGATCGCGGGGAAGATTCTGGAGATGGAAGACATGGCGGTTCTGGGCGGTCAGCTGGGCATGTACACGCTGACGGTCATCGTGGGCCTGTTCCTGCACGCCGGCGGCGTCCTGCCCCTCATCTACTTCCTTGTCACCCACCGGAACCCCTTTCCCTTCATCGGGGGCATGCTGCAGGCGCTCCTCACCGCCATGGGCACCTCCTCCAGGTAGGCCCCGCCCACCCACAGAGGCCCCGTCCACCCACGGAGGCCCCGCCCACCCACACAGGCCCCGCCCACCCACGGGGCCCCGCCCACCCATGCAGGTCCCGCCCACCCATGCAGGTCCCCCCACCCACGGAGGCCCCCGCCCACCCACAAGGCCCTCCACCCACGGGGCCCCGCCCACCCATGCAGGTCCCGCCCACCAACACAGGCCCCGCCCACCCACGGAGGCCCCGCCCACCCACAAGGCCCCACCCACGGAGGCCCCCGCCCACCCATGCAGGTCCCGCCCACCCACCGAGGCCACCTCCACTTCCCGCTTTTTGGTGGTTCATTGGAGATAGAGAGTCCCGCAGGACTGGGGCTGGCTTTGAACTGCCCGTCCTCAGAGCTCAGCCTCCTGAGTCGCTGGGATGACAGGCGGGAGCCACCGGTGTCTGGCCAACACACTGCTGTTTGCCCTAAGGCGTGGGGGGGGGGGGGGGGCGGGGTTGGAAGTGCAGGACTGGATTAATTAGTGGCTGGGTACTGTTGGCCTTAAACTCCCGAGTTTAAACGGGTGATGAGGCCTGCCACTTCCTCTCTTCCTCTGGCCCCGATTCCACTGGCGCTCTCCATGCTGTCATGGGAAGCCCTCCTTTGGTCCTATGCTGCAGTCTCTCCTCTCCTCTCTCCTCTCCTCTCCTCTCCTCTCCTCTCCTCTCCTCTCCTCTCCTCTC